CAAAGTATTCTCAATCATCAATACCAACATAATCATTCAATACATATGCAAACAATGAATATAATGTACTTAACACCATGACTCTACAACGTATGTAGTAGCATTATGGACAACACAAGTCCATCTCGCTCCTAAATCCCCACCATAAGACTAGAGCACACTAATTCACTGTTATCACCATAAGTAACACTTCACCAATTCCCATCAGAAACCAGTTACTTACTCCCGAATCCACACTATCAGACCAGAGTACACCAAAATTGGACCAAAGTTCGTACACCATGATGCATGATTCACCATAATATGTAATACTACAAAATAATCACCATACAGTCACCACAAATGTGCACAACATCATAGTAATTGGTTAATTCAATAATCATTAATAAACAATGCCAAAATACCTCCAAATAGTGGCTAAACATTAGCTTAATCACAACACAACATCAAAAATCAAAATCGACACTCAAGTTCAAGAAATTGAGTGAACGTCTCTCATTCTGGAAGTATGACAGGTTACCCGTCACCCCCACGTCACCTTATATGCCATCACAATGACGACCGTCCCATACAATTGTGCTTGGAGATCATGACGGTCTACCCGTCAGAAAGCTGACACCCATCATCGCTTCGCAGCACACGACGATTGGGGCGTCATGAGGGTGACACCAATCACCCTAAAGCCGAACTTAGATTATGCATTTTGGATATGGAGTTCATATCATAACTCTGATTTTCCCTTCTGAGTCCCCAAATCGAACAGCAACATCAATGGAAATAACACCTATCAATTAACATGCAACTTCATCAATTAATCATGAATTTAACATGTTTTTTCATCAAATTCACATCACATCAATGAACACAATTTCATGTCAATTTCATCAACAATAACACATAAATTCCATAGCGAAATAGTGCACGAATTTCACATAATACATAACACAAATCATGTTATCACAGAATTTCATTTACGTTCATCAATCATTCAACGAAAAGGAAAAACTAGGGAGAAACGTAATGGGATTAAGATCTTCCCTCTACCCAATTATACAATCTACAACATATTAGGAGTAATCCCCCCCCCCCCCTCCCTACCTTAGATTTTCCAGCAAAACTCCTTTAAGTTCTATCAATCAAAGTTCTTTCTAAACCCCAGTCTTTGCCTTTGCCTCTTCCCACCACAATTATGGTTTCACGTATACTATTTTTCTCCCAAAACTCTACTAACTATTATATATTATAACCTAATTATTTATTTTTTTTTAAATTGCACTAAGCGCCCCAACTTACGTTATAATTTTCACCACTCTTCCATATTCTCTAGGTTTTTATTATTTTGCCCAAAATCTCCTTTTTTTTCTATTTATTATAATTAATAATTAAAAATAATTACAATTTTAATTATTTAATTATTTTAGTCTTTTAAGTCCTTCTACCACCCCACCAACACTCTCATTATACCCCACCAAGGCCTCACATACACATACACATCACTATACATATTTAATTATAATACACCTAATATTAAGTAATTAATTAAATAAAATACAAAATGATTTGATTAAATAAATTAATTAAATTCTAGGGCGTTACAAGAACCAATAGGGATTGTGAATTTATTCCCTTGCCATAAGACACTACAACTTGTTAGGAAATAAGAGGGAGGCATCCAAGAATTGGGGAGTTGACTTTGCCTCTTTTGAAAAGACATCGCATTGTTAAGGCCACATAGAAAAGGTATTTGAGAGAACCTATAATGGTTTGTTCCTTTTCCTTTGGCAATCCATTTGTCCTACTTTAATAGAGTTAGAGTTAGAACACTCTATATTGGTGCTATATACCATCACCTCACCACCAACTAGTGCAATTAACAAGTGAAACTTATTTGTACACTTAAATCCAACTAAGCTCACGAGTGAGGAAAATATAGAAACTGTATTCAAAAAATTCAAACCTGTTTCATCTCTTCAACCTAAGTAAACTATTTCACTTTTATCTGAAAATTCCATACCACAACCAAAACTAAAACCACCCACCAAAGCGAAACAAGGTAGGAATGAGATCCCACATGAACTCGGACTACTTGTCTAACCAAGCAAGGAGATGAAACAAAAAACTTTATCCTTCCAACCACATACGAATCTTGAGCAATAATACTTAATTTAACCATAACCACTCTATTTATTAAACTTCATAGCTTCTAAAAACAATCTTCAACCTAAGATGAATTGGAACACCGATACACTTTAGCCACATCGATCTTTCTCTTTGATTTTCAATTCTGCTTCATGAAATAATTAAGTCAAAAGTTAAAGACCACCAACCCTTCTGATTTTCTAAGAACACAAGAAGAGCATTGTTGTTGCGTTTACAGGAAAAGTAAGTTTTACCATTATCGTATCCGTACAGACTGGTGGTTTCACAGACCTTTTAACAGTTTTTAAGATTTTAAGTAGAGAAAGGGGTTGTATATTTGTTGTGATGCGTAAAAGTAAATGACATATAAATAAATGATAGAAAGTAAAATTGAGATTTCGATGTTAACAGTAAGAAAACTTGTTGGGGGTAGATTTTGTCACTATGTATTTATCATGCACATCCATGGGTCAATAATATGATCTTCTGCTCAGCTAGTAGTATTACCACTCGTTGCTCTCATTCATATATCATTTTGATCTCAACGTCGTGACATTAGTGCATTACCCAATAGTCTAATATATTGGATATTAACCAACGTATAACATTAAGTTCCAACAATTATAAAGCAGCAAGACTTCACACAGACCCATACCACATCACGTGTGGATATTGAACCTAACCCTATCTCTAGGCGCTAGTATCCAATAAATTATTATCTTGGATCTAGTAATGACAAGCATTTTTCGATGTCAAGTCGCACTGTGAAATTATGAGGTAACAAAGTTAAAACAAATATTAAAATTAAAAAGTCATCAAAATTAAAGATGAGTAGAACTTCCTTTGCACTAAGCTAGAAACACCTGTTTATAGGCAAAAATCTAGACTTCTCGCTAGGTGCATGTTATCACTCCTTGTGCGCCTACCCGAAATTGACCTTATTTACCCAACCTATTTTTCTTCCTTAACAAGCAATGCTTGCATGTCTTCCATGTGACCCTATCTGCCTTTTCTCGCATAGCGTATTACCCCTTCGACTAGATAGTTAACCCTTGCTTCACCTTGAAGTAGTTGCAACTGGTTATGCCATATGGCTAGTCATCATTCGCCTAGTGCGCCTGTGCTAGGCCTAACGAGCCTTGTTTTTTTTAGGGTTTTGTTATGGTTTGGTTTCTGCATGGTGAAGTGTAATATTCTAGTTCTTTTCACCTGTTTTTAGTTATTGTATACAAGAAAAGTCCAAACAAGTGTTTTCTCATTTTTCATAAATAAATTGAGGGTTTTTGTGTCAACCGCTTCTGATAAGTTAATAAGTGTTGATGTATTTAACGTAAACCTGACACTTATCAACCATCCACCAAGGAGCTCAAAAGGACCTAGGGACCTCCCATGGATGTGGCTTTAACATATGAACAACCATTCACCCATAAAGCATTTCTCAACAACTCAATACTCAAATGAGTTTTGAGCACACTAACCAAGTAAGAAGCGTAAAGCTCGTTGCCCTAAAGATGGAGAAACCTCGGAAGCCATATAAGGAAAAGAGTGAAGTCTCTCTAGAGGTGGAAGGAGCATCTACTACACTTGCAAGCCACCTCTGATATATTATTTAACTACATCAATAAACATCTTTGGGGAAGAGTGACCAACCACTCATCCTAACCAAATATCTATCAACATTAAATTGAGCTCTTCCTCTTCCTCTTTCACTTCAAACCAAACTCCTAACCTTCCCACCATTTATGCACTCAAAGTTAGGTTTGTTAACCCTAAGTTTAAAGTCTCCCATCCAAGCCTTTTTCAATTTCACCTCTAGCAACCCAAGATTATAAACATCTTTAAACCTTAGAAAACCAAAATAATTTCCTCTTTTATCTCTTCTCGCTTGAATGAATATGTCCCCTGCTGATGCAAATTGAGAGAAAACACTTATCTACTCCAATGCAGTCACTAAATCAAAAAAAAATGTAAAGAGGAAAGCAAAGAACCCATCCTCCTAAGAATTGGCATAACCAAACATCCTCCCCTAAAGAACCTTGAAACCCTATTGTGGAGCCAAACAAGCCAACAAAACTAAACAACAACTTGAGATCACACCATTAGTTAAGAAGGAGGAACAATCTCTTATGCAATGCAACATAAACTAAATGGAACCTAGACTATAAAATGCATGATATTGTTGATATATGATTAATGTTACGCACTAGAATGATTTAAGGAGAGGATTGAAGGTAAGATTGAGTTGTCAGCCAATTGTTCCAAAAAAAAAAATACATGACTTGACTTGAAAAAGAAGGCATGATATTTAAAAAAGAAAGGAAAATGTTAAAGAAAGGTGAGAGATTTTCTTTCTAACATTTAATCATATACTCCTTCCGGTCTTAAATATAAGAAAAAAAATTCAATGGTATTAAATATAAGTAAAAGTCATTTATAGTTATTATATTCAATGTCACTATTTAATATATATATATATATATATATATATATATATATATATATATATATATATATATATATATATATATATATATATATATATATATATATATATATATATATATATATATATATATATATATATATATATATATATATATATATATATATATATATATATATATATATATATATATATATATATATATATATATATATATATATATATATATATATATATATATATAACCAAGGTAAAAAATTAATATATATCAATTCACATATATACAACTAAAATTAAAAAAGAAAGTAATTAACATAATTTAGAAGAAAAAAAAGTAATTAACATCTAACCAAACAAATGAAGAAAATAAAATCTTAATCACTACTAATGAATAAATTAACAAAGGGAGAAAAATAAACTAATTTGAACTTGAAGATTCTAAATTAAACTTTTCTAATAAACTAGAACCTTTAAAACTACTAGAAACACTCCATTGATCAGAGCATGCCACGGACGACGGCGCCGCCCCATTACCGCACTTAGCCACCGTCCTTACACTCTCAATCAACGCCTCCGTCCTCGACTCCTGCGACAAAATCTCCGACAACTTCTCCGGACTAATCACCAGCTTCACCTTCCACACCCCACCACTATTGTACCTCGGAAACACTTCATGTTCCGACCACATATTGCTACCATTGTTGTTGCTACTACTCCTGTCACACGTGGACATTCGATACGGAGTTAAAGTTTCGAATGTCTCACCAAATTGTTTGTTTGTCATGTGTTTGAGCGGGAGAAGATAGTAAACTTCACCACCTTGAAGCTCTTCGTTTTTCATGAGAGGTTTAGAGCGTATGTTGCAATTGTTTTTGAAAATTCCATGATGTGGAAACTCGTTGGTTATGCATTCAACCGTTATGGGAGAGTAAAGTTCCATGATGCCTCCATTTGATGTTACGATTCTTACCTTGGTGTCTTCGAAATCTCCATGATGGAAGCCTTTGAATACGCAATTACCCATTTTGTTGAGTTCAATTATGATATGATGGATCTAGTTTGAGGTGGTGGTGGTGATGATGATGAAGGGTTGTTAGTTATTATAAGGGTTTGAATATTGAGAGGAGTGATGATGAATGAGGAGGTTTCTTGAGGGTTTCTTTTTGATAGGAAAGATGATGACTAGCCGACACAAAAAGGTATCAAATCCTTTCTTTGGTGTTGTGATTCCATAAACAAAGATAGCCTATTTGTCTATGAAAGTATCGGTTATGGGAATGGGCCATATTCCACACCTTGTAGTGCATGTATGCCATTGGTCATCGGTTGGTAGCTATTATAGGAAAGTGGTCCTACTTTATTAGTATTATAAAAAAAGCCTTGATTTACTTAGATTATTATTCTTAATGATGATTATTTATAAAAAAGCCTTGATTTACTTAGAACATAGGAATATCAATACCAATTTTTTCAACGTTCAACCAGTATTTTTAAGACAAATTGTTTGACACAACTTAAGTGTACACTTGTATACACAAAAACTTAGTTTATGAGAATTGATTTGATGTTCTATTATGGTTATTATGATTAGCAGAAAAAATAAAATAAAAAATATTTGGGTTGGTGTAGGGATGACAATTATATTCATCTTCTTTTAAGGTTTTGAGTTTGAATTCTATTAGGTGATAACAATTTTTATGTTGGAACAGTTTATATAGAGTTTTACTCTGGCTTTAAACGAGGTACACGCTAGTAAACGGTGGGATTGGTCGAAAAATCGAATCAAGATTTCAAAAAAAAATGTACTTGTCTTTGTCTCCAATGGGTACCCGTAAAATTTACCTACAATAAATAGGGTGAAAACTCGTACGGATATAAATAATTATCCACTAAAATAAATGGTTACGGATATCTTAGTACCCAACACACTTCGTACCCGTACGATATTTATTTATATATTTTTATTTTCATTATTACGTAGATATGTTAATCTAACAATTTTATTAAATACATTACTATTAAATTTTTACGTATTTTAATATAATTTTTCTTTTTATTTCTTAACTTAATAATAACATCCTCAAATTTTTTAAATGTTAAAAAAAATTAAAATGACATGATAAATTATAATTGATCGGTCATTTTTTATTAGAAATGTGGATACGGGTATGAGTATGGGTACTTAGCTACCCATAGGATACGGGTACGGATACAAACGTTGGTGTCCATGAGGATATGAGCTCGGATATGATTTTTTTTTTTAAACTGCAAATTTGAGGATGGATATTATAATTCTCTGTCCAAACCCTATCCATTTTTATTTCTAGTTTGGTGTAATCATAAAAGGTTAAATATTATTTTTCTTTTTATCTTTAATTTAGAGTTTATTTTAGTCATTTAACTTTTAAAAAAAACATTTTGATTCTTTAATTTTGCAAATTGGATCACACTAGTTCTTTCTATCAATTCTATTAGTCTAAGTCAATTTATAGACTATATGACACTGACATGACATGGAATGTCATGTTGCTTAGACCAATTTTATAACAAATTTAGTGACAGAAGAGTCTGTCAATAAACGATTTGATAGGTTTCAATTATTCTCCTCCATGTTCTTCTCTAAATCCAACAAAAAAATTCAAATTTGTTTTGAATCAAAATGAGCCAATCTATAAAATTGATCAGCGGCCTTATCAAGACAAACAAACTAAAATCATATTATGTTCTTATCAAGACAAAACAAACTAAAACCTTAACATCTCCCACACACAACAGCCAACACAAACACACATATAAATTCTATACTTCAAACTAGAGAACAAAAATTGTGAGAGAGGAAGAGAAAAAGAAAATTCGGATCTCAAGGTTTGTGGTTGTTCAAGTGTGAATAGAGGCGCGGTGGCCTGAGGTGCGACGGTGGATTGCCGGGAAAAATGAAGGTGCAATCATGGAGGTGAATGACTTCTTCTCTCATCTACTTTTGTTTTAGGTTTTTGAGTGTTTGAATTTTGATAATTGGATTTCTATGGGTATGATTAGATCTTCAACTTTTAAGTGTTACAAAGTTGAAGTGAATGTTAAAGTTTTAATTTTTATGAAGTGATTTAGCTCTTAAGTCAATTTGAAACGGTGGGTCGATTTTAGGTTCAAAAGGGATGTGGTAGAATATGATGAAGAAGATTGTTCAAGAAAAATGGAAGAAGAAATTTTTTGTTTTGATCTTAGTAGTGGTGCTTTGTTTTGGAAATTTGTTCTTTATGCATATGTGGTATACTCATGTTTTAGGCCTTATTTCATTGCAACATCAATTTGTTTTTCTATGCATTTGGTTTATTGTGAACTTGACCTTCATAAATAATGAAAATTTTCACTTAAACAAAAAAAATGGTTCATTCGAAGTTTTAATAAATACTCTTATGTGGTTGGCTATAGAGCTTGTGGGGAGTTTTTTCTAAAGTTATTACAATGGGTCGGTTAATTATCTTAATATAAATAGATCTATGCTGTATAAAATCATAAGAACTATTACTAACATGAAAAAGAACAATCACATACAAGTACAGAATAATCACAATTAAATCAAACCCTAACATAAAAAGCATTATTATCATTGTTGTCTTCTGGATACATAAGAGATAATCCCTCTCAAATGTTTGAAACAAATTACATTGGACATCATATTTAATTTATTTAAAAGTTTAAATCCAATATAAACTAACATTTTTGAAAGAATATATTAGAATTTATAAATTATTTTTTAGTGATCAATATTTTCGTCACTTAATCGGTCACAAAAGTTAAACGTTACATGTCATCTTCCATATCAGCAAAAATGTCGTCACTGACTTTTGGATGGAAAAGACTAACTTGATCTAGTGTATAAGTAAGGGATCAAAACGGTCTTTTTAAAAGTTAAGGGACCAAGTTGGACCCCGAATAAAATATAAGGGACAAAAAAAGGTATTTAGCCTTGTTAAAACTAACAAGAGGATTATGTCTGCAAGAAGACTTTCCTCTTCGAACATTTCCGATAGCAAATAGGGGTGACGTCTGACAAGTGTTCATAACACTAATTCCAAATTCATTTAAAAGAAGACAAAAACCTATGAGAGAATAAACACTCATTAAAGAGGATAGCACACCATCACATTGGTCGCATATCATTTTATATCCATATATAAGGAAATACAACCTTCAGCCAGACGAAAAGCCTAGATTAATCGAGGACTGGTTTAAAACACCCTCGTGAACGAAATTATAAATGGTCCTCAATATTTCTTGATCCACCTAGTCGCCAGAGATATGTCTACTCGTCTGCCTAATTGAAGTTGGTGCAATAATCATGATCAAGAGTGCTATGAAGAAAATCAAAATACATACAAGATATGGCAAGCAAGCAAGTTCATACACAAGTATTCTTAGTAGAAAATGCCAACAACAAAAGAAATCTCTCGAAAAAGAAATAGAGATATTGAATATTCATTATTCTGAAAACCTTAAAAAAGGGAGCAGAAGTGAAAGAAAAATGTTATATTTATCATGGAAAAGATGGATTGTTTAATCCTGCATCTCAAATACCAAGAACATGAAGGAATAAACTCGACCAAATACTGTAACAAGTAAGCTCGCAAGAAAAAATGACAAAGAAAACAAAAAGAACACTCTTGCATGTCGTTAGTGGCAGAGAGGGCCAAAATGACGCTTTAGAAACCTCTTATAAACTACTTATCCGCTAAGGATTATACGATCTATTGCACACCACCAAAGGTTGGGATTTCCTCAAAAATTATTTAAGTACTCAAATGCTTTAGGACTGAGGAAATGTCTTCACTAACGTAGGGACACACATCACTCGTTCCCATTGAAACATTACTTATTATATGAAAAGCATTTAAAACACATTTTCAATTACATTGACGTCACATCAAAGGCTTCCATGTATTAAAAACCCTTGTCTTGAGAGGAGAAATAAGGACTTTGGGGGTAATTGTTTTGGGACGTCTACAAGACACAATAGCGAGCAACAGGAATAAAGCGCGAAACTGGTAGACTATATTTTTCATTTTGATAGTTGGTCGTGATCTAGTTCTCACTCCACGATTTAAGTTACTAAACGTTTCTCGTATTTGAGATTAGAGAAAGCACGTCATTTTTCAGATATTCAAATTTATTATCATTCACACATCATTTTTCATTCTCTTACTAACTAAAATGTCGGAATGATAACCTATAAGTCGGCTATCTCTCTTCTACATCAAAAGTTCAGAACCACGACAACAAACTTTATCTTCTCGTTTACCCATCAACTATGATTTCACTCTTAAATAATTAAAAATAGTATATATATATATATATATATATATATATATATATATATATATATATATATATATATATATATATATATATATATATATATATATATATATATATATATATATATATATATATATATATATATATATATATATATATATATATATATATATATATATATATATATATATATATATATATATATATAAAAGACTAATTGGCTGGTGGTAAGAAGTTTCAATATTAAAATTGAATCACTTATATTCATTAATTAATTTACCTTCCTTTTTCACCGACGGACTAAAAAAAGAAAGAGTGGGTGATGTAAAAGATTCATTCTCTATTAAAATAGATTTTAAGATTGAATAAATAAAATTATTATTTTCATGGTTGTTTGCATGGGGGAATATAGCTGGATGAACGTGTAGGGCCATATATATACGTGTGGTATGATGGATATGTGGGATTTTGGATGATCTAGTCGATATTGAAATGTTAACAGCATTGAATCCGGTGAGTCCAAAATAGCATGCGACCAAACTCGGGTTGCATTTCATTGTGTCATAATAGGCAGCATTTGTCGGTTGTGACACCCGCACCTGGAAGAATACATGTTGCTTCCTCGGCATGAGTGGTTTTTGTTGGATCATGAGAGTTTTTTAATAAGTGCAACCATACAAAAAGGATTTTTTGACCTAGGTGCCCTAC